AGCATTCTGAAATTCGCCAAAAAATCCTGAATCTAAAGCTTTCTTGATATTTACAAAGTAATGTGATAATTAATGGATGGTAAAAGTAGAAAAATGATAGTTTAACACTCCATCTTTATATCCCATTTCAACGGTAGTAGGCTTAAGTTGAGATTAGAAAATAATTAAAAACGTCGTTATTTTCCGTATATTCATGAGAAACCGAAATAACGTTTTTCGAATAATTATCGCTTCATAAAATGAAAATTTTATAAATCTTAGGTCTTAAACAAATCTATGAATATATATAAGAAAAAACTAACATGATCTTCATAATAATGATGGAATTTTAACGCTTAAACGTAGTATAATACCGATTAAAAGATTAATGGATAAAAATTTAGTTAAAAAGAATTTTTATGTATTTTAGTTACTGAATTTAACGCATATCGTCTTGAATACTTGTTATTGAAAAGCAATAAACTTATTTAAGACGTCAGCAAATTTAAAAAACAAAAAGTATTATTATTTCCTGTAATTAAGGTGGATTTCTTACTTTTTAAGTAAGGAACTATACGTAGTTAGACATACTTTATGAAAAAGCTTTTTTAATCTTACGAAAAACTAATTTCATTAGCTGTTACAATTCATGCTGGATATTTGTGAATATAATTTGAATTATTTTTAATCTTAAATTTAAAGAACAAATATGTTGCTAGTAATAATATAAAATTAATGTTAATTATTTTTAGAGCAATGCAATATAATTTGTAACTAGATATATTTTAATATGAGGTTTTCTCAATCATACGAAAAACTAATTTCCTTAAGCAAGTAGCTTTTCTGCTAGAATATTTTTGAAAACATTCAATAATACATTTGATAACCCGCGAAGCTAATTTATATTTTTAATATAATTGTGATTCGAAAAATTGTAAATAAGGTAATTCATACTTCAGTTAGTTTTTTCAACCTTATTAGTAAAATGAATTGAAAAGTTTTGATTGTTACAAGCATTGCTTTAGAAATGAGATTTTTTTTGTATTTTAAAATCTAATATCAGATGAGAACATAATACAAACATTAAAATTGTTAAAGTGCTCAAAAAGGTAAAACGGGTTAAAAAGATAATTTCACCAATTATTCTTAAAGGAAAGATAATTGATTCTTTAAGGAACGATAATTGATTCTTACAAGCAATGTTCTATGAATGAAATATTTTTACATGTCAATACTTAACGTTTAAATGACGTTAATGTAATTTTATGTGTTTGTAAAGGAAAAAAGAGTAATCCAGAAAACAAAATAATCTAAAATATTGCATAATAGTGAACAAAATACTGTACACCGTGATGTATTTTATATTATTATTTGTTCAATGGTAATTGAAAAAAAAACTTTAATTGGTTCTTACAAGAAATGTTTTACAGACTAAATATTTTTGTTCGTTAAATATCTGTTGTTACATGTTAAAATAATATAACACGTTAAAATCGTTGCATATATTTGGAAATGATAAATATGTTAAAACTCTCGTTTTCAAAATGTCAATTTTCTAAACAATCTAAAGAATAGATTACAATCTATGATACTGAACAAAATAGCATTATGAACAATAGAATACTAAACAATCTGAAGACGTGCATGATATAGAACAATGTAATGAGCATAAAAAATATTAAATGTTTTTGCACGATAAAATTTTGTTAAAAGTAAAAATCATAAATACACGATAAAATTTTTGCTTTTGTTCGCAAAGGAAAACTGAGTAAAAATCCTAATTATTAATAATTCAATTTTTCTAAACGATCTAAAGAATAGTACGATATTAAATCGCAGAATAATCATTCGAAAATTCAAAAATCATGCTAGAATGAGAACAAGATTATGCAACATCTTCGTACAATTTATTTCTTTGATTATACACCTGAAGTTACAGAAAAAAAAAAAGACAAACGAGATGAAATTTGGTGGAAATATATCGTAATTCTAGGAATCTTACAACTACACTCGTCAACAAGCTGCAACAGTGACTACTAAATAGATGAAGCTATCTCCTTCCTTATCAACACACGTCGGGAAGAAAATAACTTCTCAAAATGAGAACGGGAAAAATTCTTTGTCATGCAAATACGCGCATGAACTGTCAAAATTCCAATATTCCCCTCTTTTCTCCAATTCTATAACAAAATATTCTATCACCACCGCCGAAAGGAGTGGGTTCTTTATCCCTTCCAAATAAAAAAGGGAAAAAATGGCATCTTTTTCTAAACTCAGATCTCTGATCTAAAGGAATGAAGTTTACTCAGTTACGATATGTACGTGCTCGGACAAACTAACGTATACTCGCGTAAGAAAATAGTTCCATATATTCTACGTACTTTTTTATTCCCTACCTACTTCAGTATTCTTTCTCCAAGTTTGCAGAAAGGGAAAAGAAGTTTAAAAATTGTAGCTTTTGGTATTCTGGTCGCATGATGTAATATTTAGTTCGTCTGGACGTGCTTATGATGTCCTCTGGACGAAGTACAATTTTCTTTCAATATTCCTTTTTGTATTCAATAAAAGAAAATCCTGGGTTGTGATATCTTGATTTTTCAAAAGGGCAAATACTAGAAACGATTCTCAAGTCAAAAGGATATTTTCGTATAAATAATATGGGCGATTGTTAATGTAGTCTAAATGTAATAATCGATGTTGAATCTCTTTTTAAAAACATGACAATTCTATTCAAGGAAGGAAAAAAAACGAACATTCAGTTTTTGTAAATAACCTGTATTATGCTTACTAGCAGAAAAGCTACTTAATCCGTGAAATAACCAATATATAATTATATAATCTTGCATAGAAAAAAAAAGATAATTTATTGAGTAAAAATTTTTTAACAATTCTTTAAATTGATTGTTGAAATTATTTTTTTGGATTGAACTAAATGTACACTTTGTTCGTGAAAAATTGTTTACGTAATCAGAGTACTACGTAAGGAAACAATTCAATGAATGTATATCTTGTAAGATTTGAATGGTTCTTTGTATTGGAATACATTTAATGCACATACAATTTAATGGATAAAAACCAAATGTCGTTATTATGCACCGACCTCAAAATAAACTTACAATTATACGTATTTAAATGAACAAAATAAACAGCCCTAGAAAACATGCAAGACTTAAAAAAGAGAGAAAAAAAACGTGAAAAAAATTAAAGCGAAAAAGTAAATTAAGATTTAAAAAAATATACGGTATTATTAACTTTTACAGGATACATAAATTTCCGGACATTAGGTGCAACTGTTCATATAACTGTAAAAGAATGTTGTAAGTACTATGGAAGATTATGTGTATTGAATAGATACCTAATGTGAATGACTAGCTTTGTTTCAGGATGAAACAGCCATTTGTGATTTTTATGATGAAAATGCGAAGAATGACACGTAAATTACTAATATTTGATATATTTGCAATAATTACTATAAACATGTAAACAAATATAGACACACAATAAGTACATCACAATATTTTTTTTAAAGCAAAGAGAGTATCATCCATCTTTAAGAGTGAAGTTTTCACCAGTAGATTATCAACTGTAAGGTTTGGCCAAACCTGTGAAAATCCTCTTTTGATCGTCTCCTTAAGCAAAGTTAAAGCGATTGCCAAATTCGAAATAGGCCCAGGTGTCAGTATCAGAAATCTAATTTGATAAAAATGTTAATCACAAGTATTTTTTCTCTTTCGAATAATTAAGTAGTTAATTTGGATCCATTGTTAATCGAAAAAAAAACTTAAAGATGTTTTTGCAGTATCTGAAGCGCGAGTATCTAATAGGCTGCTTTTTTACTACATTTTTTTAGTTTTAAGCTTCGCAACGACTGATTTTAAGGAAAGCGAATATGTAACAATATTTGCATATCAGTGTTTTGGGTGTACCCAGTTGTAATAATGTGGGTTCTTTCCTTTTGCCTGAAATGTTAATTAGTCACTCCTTTCCAACGCAAACGAACTTTTAAAATAGAATCTAGTACTCTCTGAGTGTTATTGCAAGAGCTAGTTATGCAACAAGTGAATCATGCCTACACGTCTGAGATTTGTGTTACCCGAGTGCTAATCCACAAGCATAGCAGCTTACAAGCCTAAGATTTGTGTTGCCCGAGTGTTGATCTATAATCTTATCAGCTTACACACCAAAGATTTGAGTTAAATGAGTGTTGATCTACAATCATATCAGCTTACACGGCTAAGATTTGTGTTACCTGAGCGTTGATAAACATCAGTTTCCGTGCTTAAGATTTGTCTTACCCGAGTGTTCATCTACAATCATATCAGCTTACGCGCCTAAGGTTTGTATATCGTTAGAGTTGATCTACAAGCATATCAGCTTACATGTCTAATATTTGTGTCAACTGAATATAATTGGACTTCGAAGAGTGTATAAAAACAAATCAATTATACATATACCAGATTAAATCAGGTTTATGTATATGGTTAATGTATTTCGTAACAGTTTCTCAAAACGAACTGAATTCACTTTTTTTTTTCTTTTTCATTCTGATCCAGCATATTCTTCAATTCATAGGAATGTAATAGTTCAAACATTATTAAGATCTAATCATTCCCTTTCATCTGACTAGAAAACAAAAACAATTAAAACAGAAAGCCAGCATAATGAAATTTAGCATCATGTAGCATAAATTTAGGCAGTGTAAAGATTGAAAACACCTGCTTAAAAACGATAGATAGTTGTGAACCTGCTAGATTTTTTTTTCACGAGATAAGAAATAAGTTTCTTTTACAGAAAATATTTTCACTGCGAGTAAAAAAATATGTTAAACGCGTTTTACAAATGAACTACTCAAACCATCAGATACTGCAAATAAGAACATCGAACACATGTAAGAATAAAAATCTGACCAAAGATGATATTAATTATATTTACATAGATGTGCTCATCACAGCTTGCCATACCTTAAGCGGATCACTTTTTTAATTGATTCCCGTATAACAAACAGGTAAATATTCAATTACCTGTTGCATTTTTTCAAAGTCCAGACATGGCCGCTGGATGGCGTTGGTTGTAGGGGTCCGGCGATGCCTTTTCCTGGGGGACACCGAACACAGCTCGTGTGGGGGGATGTGCGCCTGGCGCAGACACTTGCTCGGTTTGTGGACGTCGGCGGGGGGCGAAGTCCTGAATTCAACGGGACAGCACAAGTAAAGACTTTCTTCGTCCTCATCATCAGCACCACCGCCAAAATCCCACTTACGTTTCTCGGCTGCTGGATGCTGAAGGCGCGGACTGGTACTGTTGATCACCTCCAGCTCCTCTTCGGAGCTGTGGTGGTCAAAGTTGTGGTCGCTGTCCGAGGGCAGCGCAGAGTCTAAGGCCGCTGCATCGGGGGAGCGGTTGCTGCTCGTCCTCCGTCTGTGGTGATGGTGGTGGTAACGTCTGGGCGGAGGGTCGGGGCTAACACCACCTCCACCCTCATCCCCGTTCGTCACCTGATGGGGCAGTGGATGTCTTTTGGAACGTCGTTTCTCACTGTGGTGGTTGCTGTCAATGTGGATGATGCTCTCCATGTCTGAAAGAATATCGAACAAATTTTCAGAATAATTTCATAACAAGCTACTCTAGACATCACATGCAATTTTAAAAATTAAAAATCACGCTTAATCATCGAAGTTCTGAAAAACTTTATATTTTAGTAAATTTATTTCCATTTGGATGATGTCACACTCTCTTTAGCATATTTGTACTGCATACAGATTAGCATTCTGAGATGGTTACGTATACATTGTTTCAGACCATCTATTCAGTAAATAATACAAACTTATTTCCAATTATCCAAAACCAGTGGTTGGTTCCCAACTTATGGGTCGCGGCCACAAGTGGATAACAGACAGCGATATTCCGAGGTGCGAACATCGAATCTTGGGATCCATCCAATATCAATGTTTCTGGTTGATTCATTAACCCTAGTGAGGTATTATGATATTCAATAGCTCTCTACAGACCGAAACCAATAATTTAAAAAAAAAGTCCCGCAAGTTGTTATTTTTCTCGTATAGTAGCTTTTACTAATTACTTCGTCATACGTTTTTTACTCGTGCATTTCGTAATTAGTGATCTTCAAGGTTGTTTATTCCAAGATTTTTGGTCCGCATTGGGTTGGGAACTACTATATATAATCCTTCATTATTCTTTGATTTCAACTTCAGTTAATCTTAAAGCTAACTTAGTTTTGAATGACAAGAAAAATGAATAGCTATACCACATTTCAAACTTGATAAAACCATGTAATTTGAACTCGAAAACAGAGTTACAGCTGGTAGTTAAAATTGGTGAATGGAGTCTAAGAAACAGCTTTAAAACACAATCGTTTCGTCAAACGACATTCTAGACACAATGGGAACGACATTCTAGTGTTAAACTAGTTTATCTTCTGGAGAATAACTAAATCAAACAGTTTGTTAAATAAAGGGAGAACATTAATTTTTATCTTAGTGGCAAAATTGTCATTCAATCCTCTCCTGTGTTCCAGCATCAAAAGCAGCAAGGAAATAAGGTTTGTTAGTTTGTTGCAGTTAAAATTTAATTTCACTTATGTATCTTTTAACAGTGAAGTTTCAAGTAGATTTCCTTTTCCGAAATTTACTATGTAATTTGAAATGTGTGTGTTAAAAAATGTGTGCTAAACACAAATTTTTTTTTTAAATTTTCATGCAAGGGACTAACCGCTAACATTACAGATTTTTGTAGTAAGAACATCCAAATTCTACCGCAATATATGTTTAGATTAAGGTTGCCCCACATTCCGATTCAGAATTAACAGTAGACTAACAGATCACTTGTGGCTGGATAAGCAAAGAGGAAAATCAGAAAAAATTAGGGGGCGGGGGATCAAACTAAAGTACGTCGGCAAACGGATTGATCATTGGACTGCCCACGCACAGCTTCAATTTAAAAAGAATGCATTGATATCAATAATTCAAAAAATCAGTACTATTGGCGAAAACTTACATTTTTGTAGCTCTTCAATTTCAGCACCTTCATCATCTGACTCGGTCCCAGAATCTCGATCATCGTCTGTCTGTAAATACAAAAAAAAAATTACAAAATACATTAGGGAAAACAGTTTCATAGAAATTTACCATGCACACATTTTAAACAATTTCAAGAAAACTGTAAAACAATAGAACTTCAATAGAATTTCATTAACAGAAGTTTTTTCTAGAAAAACATCTATCCATTCTTAATTAAAATATCTTAAACAAGAAAGGGGGGAAAAAAAGAAGAAACTAATAAATTATGGCAACTTGATTAGGAATATACGCGACAGCTATTCGATAATTAACAAATTTGTTATTCAGAACTCAGTACTAACGCAAACGATGAGGAAAGCTGCAAACGATCTTACTGAATGCGAATTGCTTAATGAACTTAAAAATGAATTCCACTGCTAGGGCTATTGTTGGATTTCCTAAAACATCCATCAAACCTGAAATATTTGTTCACCAGCTAACTGCGACCGCCATCACAAATTTTTCTCTTCTCCGGAGCTTCCGTGGTCCACCATTGAAAAGGGGTGGCCGGGAACAATGACGCTAATGAACTTGGAGTCACCTGCTTTGCATAATTATTCAATCAAAGCTACTTTAACTGTCGCTCTCCAAACTTCTCTTCCAAACCTTCCCCCCCATTGGAGCGAAAAGCAAATGTCTTTTGTGACTCAGCATACGAAAACTTTGCCCTTTGTTCCTTCCATAGATTTGAAGGATTATTTTTTTTTTCTTTCGGGGTATTTTATTTTTGCGTGTGTATTGTGGGTATTATTTTTTTAACCTAGAAATATAATGAGAAGCTAAGCCTAAGTGAATAGGACTTCGCAACAAAAGGACGTAAATCGAACAGAATGCCGATTTTGTGTATCCTCTTTTCCTTGTCTCTTATCCCCCCTTTTTTTTCTCTTTCTTTTATGTGTCTTTCTTTTGGTATTCTATTTTTTATGATTGTATTTCCTTCTGATTCTTCACAAAGAATTAATGGAATACTTTTACATAAAATACTATTCACACAGTGCAATGCGGGTCGACATACAGAATTCGAATATTAAATATTCTTTCAGGAGAGACATTCTTTATTTTAAATTAATCAAAAAATAATGTTTCGATTATTTTTATTCTTTTGATTTAATTCTATTTCGATTATTTATTTTTTTTAAACTTTAAAAAGAAAATAGAAAAACTTAATTTCTGCAACTTAACTTAAAATCTTACAAAATTTAATTTTTGCAAATTTCATTTTGTTAATGTGCAAACGTGCTGAACACTAAATAGTACCTATATATTTACATTAGCACAATTTGAGAAATCAGAAGAGAGATTTAATAGATAAACAGCTTTCAGTACAACATCACAAACAACAAAAACAAACAGTACCACATTTTTAAATTTTTTTTTTGTTTTAACTTTTACAAATTTTTTTTTTTCGATGATAATAAGCTAAGTAAGTTTTCCACAGTATCTTAATTAAAAACGATATTCAAATGATTCAAACGATTCTTTTTTCTAACTTTTTCTAAGACTTTTAAATGGATATTTGCAAATGACGTGATTGTAGGTTAATCTTGGCATTTGTTGATTCAGAAGCCAATCAGATTCGGCACACACGCATGACGTCACTAACAAGTATCCAATTAAATATGATTATAATTACATGGTTGGGCATAATAATTTCCTTACATCCCGAGATAGATATCTTTATTTTTTATTAATTTATTTCGTATTTTTTATTTATTTAGTTCAAGGAATGACAAAGTGAATGTCTTGAACTAAACAATTAACAAGACTTCGATATAGTGACAATATTTATAGGCATTTTACAGTTTTCTACAACAGACCAGTTAAAATTTTTTAAAACTGTAAATTATAGTAATAGTTGAAGTGAAATATTTAATTGCAATACAGTAATAGTGAAGTATATTTAAAAAAAACTCTTAATGCACAAGCAGGAAAAAATTTTGTAATTGTACTTGCTCAAAATATAATTTTATACAGTTGTGCTTTGCTTTAAACATATATGTCTAGAAGTAAATACGCCAAACATAATTACGCACAATTTAAAACTTCATATAAACACATAAATTAAAGAATTTTAGATTTTTACAGAATTACACGGTAAGATAGTTGATAATTAGGACTCGACCATAAAAACGAAATCATTTAACTTCCAATTAAAAAATTTATGCCATCCATTCCGTTCTTTTAAAAAAAATTAACGGAAAGAGCAAAGTTCTGAAAATAAAACGAATTTCGTTCAAAGCTAATGGTTTCAATAAAATAAATGTACTTTTAAAAAACGATCTAGATTTTACTTTTCTTTTTAATTCCGACTGCTGTAAAAGCTGAAGGCGCATTGGAGCGGGTACACCATTATTTTCCCCAAACGCAGACGAAATGGGTAATTGTATGCCTAAATAATGCACCGTGAAATAGAACAGTTAAAATAAGTACAACAATTCGGACATGGGGGAATAATATTCACATACTTAGTTAAATTCATTAGTTTCCTTAGACAATATTTCTAACTTCCCTTTATTTGCTTGGGTAGACAACATTTATAACAGCTCCCAGCAACAACGATAGACAACGAAATCTAGTTAGAAAAGCGGATTACAGAAACAAACTCGTGGAAAAAAAACATCGTTTGGCAAGCGATTTCTGCTTCTTCAACCGCTCAACTCTTCTCAAGTGCGACGGAATATAATCCAATAATCCCCTTTCAAAAGCACGGACCCGTACATGATTCTAATATACACTCTCCTAAAAATAAAAATTTTCTTAGAGCACATTAAGAGGCTAACTTTCAAGCCCAAGGTTTCGTCAATTAAATATGTACAATCTTATTGAGCTAATTCCGTCGTGCTTAGTTTTCAAAGGGGGGAAACAGTCGAGGAATAAGACTAAAACCCATTTTGATTTAATTTTTTTTCTTCTTCCATTTGCGTTTTTCTTTTAGATTAAGCAGTTCGCAAAGATTTACGAATCATATTTATATGTAAGAATTATAAAAATTGCCTCCGTAGCAAAACAAGCAGAAGTAAAAGTTTGCGGTTCATTAATTTTATTTCAATAAAAAATAAAAACAACCTAAATTTTTAAGACACATTTAGTTTGTTTTTATTGAATGAATTATCACAATTGCAAATGTTCCAAAAGTTAAACGATGTTAAAAAAATAAATGAAAACGAGATTAAATCTAGTTCATTTATTAAATTTAGCTGAATCATACTGCGTTAAATCGATATTATTTTTTTTAAATATAACTAAAAACAACTTTAAATTCCGTATTTTAAATTCAAGCAACATAAAATATTAGTATCCTAATATATTAAAAATACTTCACACTGCATAATGTTTTAAAGCATCAAGCAACACTTTTTTTCTCTCTTTTTTGTTGCTCTAAACAGCATGGAAACACAATGGAAAATATACCAAACAAACAAAAAAATGTCACTTAACAAATTAACACAGAAAAAAACCACATTCAACTGGATAAGTTTATTTTAAATTTTAATTCGCAACATAAATTCTAGTTTAGAATCGTAAAAGACATTGGAGTTTTTGATATACGAAGAACAAGTCCTGAGAATTCACATTAAAATTAACATATTAAACTTCGATATTATAGTAAACGAGTCATTGGTATTCAGATTCTAAAAATTTGATCTGAAACGGAAAAAAAATGCATCCAGTGTTCATTAAACATTTACCGTGAATTCTTATTTTATTTAAAATAATTGATTATTAGCTCGTCTATCATTCACTATAGATTTTAATCAATGTAAACACAAAAAGAAAATTTTCTGTTATAAGAGGTTATAACAGATTATTTTAAAGACCACTTTTTTAATCAGGGTGAGCACAAATTTACGATCCCTGATATTAATTTAACAAGTTTTAATTTGCAGTCTTTGTCATTAATTTGCGATCCTTGATATTAATTGGATTAGTATTAATTTGATACTCCTGTGTAGGCTCTAATGACTTTGATTATTTGACAATGATTCTAAAAATATATATTTAGGCCGATGATTACGACACGATTCGTATTTGAAATTCAAGCGAATAGAAAAAAAAAACTGGCAAGATTCCAAATTTGTTCAAAACGTTTCAAACTACCTAACATTTTAAAGCAGCAAACATTGTATAAACTTTTTTTTCTAAAACGCAACATTTGTTTCAGATAACACTAAAATACAAAATAAAAAAAATAATAATTATGTCCAAAAAAAAACTTCACTAGAAAACAGATTAACATGGCAAAAAAGACATTAAATTGGAACTATAAACTTGTTTTCAATTTTAATTCCCAATACAAATCCTAGTTTCGAATCTTAAAAGACATTAGCATCATCGTTCCACAAAGCTCCAGGCTTGAGAATTCACCATTAAAATCGACATATTAAACTCCAATCGCAAAAGCTTACGAGTTATTGGATTCGGATGCTTTAAATTCGTTCTAAAACGAAGCCAACTTTACCCCAGCAGAACAAAAATGGAATAACTGATTCTCCAACAATGTAGTACCATTTACCTTGAATTCTTGCTTTACTTAAAACAATCCATCGCCAGCCAGTCTCCCATCCATTATAGATTTTAAACAATATAAAGAACAACACAAAAAGAAAAGCTTTCTGTTATAAGAGGTTTTAATGGAATATTTTAAAGACCACTTTCATCAGGATGAGTAATTTCTTTTATCCCCCTTCCCCCCTTCTACCACTTAAGATGGGTGGAGAAAACGTTGCAATAAAAGTAGGATAAATAGTTTCAGTTTTTACCCTTTCCTTTATACTTTTATTCGGTGATGGATTAAAGCCAATATTTACAGTTAAGACGGGGAAATATCGTTTAAATTTTGAGTGCCTTTTCGGCATTTAAAAAAAAGGGGGAACATTAAAATACACGTACTTATCTACGATCTTTTTCATTAACTGGGAAAATGATGAAATTTTCTGGGCAATTTACCTTTAAAGCAGACGAACAAGATTCGGAACGAAATAGATTGATGTGATTATTGTAAAAAAAA